GGGGGGGGGGGGGGGGGGGGGGGGAGGGGTGGAATGATGGACAGCAGGTGCAGATGATGCATGGCCCCCCACGGGACAGGTCCTGCCTCATTAATTGGGCTTTTATAATGATACACTTAATTGAGTAGAGGTCATTATCTAGAAGCGCGGTGACCGCTAATGCTCCTGTTTGTTTTCCCCTGTCCCGAGATAAGACGTGATTATTCCTTCTCCCTACCGCATGTATACTTCATTAGGGACTCGCATTTTCCCAAACTATACACGTCTGCTCCCGAGACTAATTAATTGCGGCCGAGGCAATTAATTAATTGCGTCCGAGGCTCGTCCTTCCTGTCTTCTTTCTTGCGCTAAGCGAGGGTGCTTAAGCATTCCGAGGGTGCTTAGGCATTCCGAGGGTGCTTAGGCATTCCGAGGCCGAAAACGCGAGACTGGCTCGACGGAAAATTTTTTTCTGCGAATTATCTTAATCCTTCATTAGGAAGTCGCGCTGGATTAGCAGCATAAATTAACAAATGCGGCACGAAATTGTTCGGCAAACAATTGAATATTTCAACACGGAAAAAGAAAACAATAGGTCACCATCTGGGATCTAAGAACCGAAGACAATTGCTTTGTTTTAGTCATGATGGTTCTCGAACGTGCATAAAAAAAAGCGGCGCCCTCTTTTGGGCCGCCATCTCGGCGGCACCTTCCTGTGCCACCGCAATTAACACAATATGAATATATAAATATGAAAACTTGGACCTCAAAATTGAAATTCTGGAAATTTGGGAGAGAAACTCCAAGGAGTCACAGGACGAGTCCTGAACGACGAAGGCGGAAAAACCTGGATGAGCGGTATGTCATGACCTCCCTCTCTCGCCCAGGGAGGAAAGGGAGACGCCCACGTGCCGTTCGATCAATTCGATCGGAAAATCAGTGCAGACCGAAAAAAAAATTCTGGCATCCGTGGCATGTCTGGGCATCACTGCAGAAAAATGATATGCATAATAATGATAATGAATAATGATATGCATAATAATGACAATGAATAATGATAAACAGAGTTAAATTTGTTGGGTCAGAGGTTTCAGGACTTTTTGCTCTGAATTTATTTTTGCTTGCGGTGGAATCGTCACAGAGTGAAAAATGGAAGACGATTTGGAATTTTCTCGCCTTTTTTAGGTTTCTCTTCTCGTCGGGTTTCGCAAATTTATCGAGATCCGAGGAGATCGACGAGGCCACGAAGAATTTCCCGCCTGTTTTCTTCTTCGTCTGACTCCGATTCCAAAAAAAAAAAAACAAACCGAACAAAATCGCCCCAAGAGGAAGAAATAAATAATAAGATAGGAAAAACGTAAGAAAAAGAGAAATTTTTTTTTTTTGTAACGCTGCGACCTATTCCGAAAGGGATCCAAGCTCCGCACGAGACGGAGCATGGTCTCCCCACTTCCGGACGGACGAAAGCCGAAATCGAAAATATGCGCAAACGCTTGAAGCCTGCTCGAAGCATGCTCGAAGCATGCTTGAAGCATGTGGCCTACTGCTTTCGACTTAGGGAAAAGAGCCGTTTTAGCTGCTATAAGGCTTTATTAATTTACAAAAAAAAAAAATCCCAACTAGTTTATAATATGTCCATATTAAGACCAGTTTCCAGCATCCACGGAAACATCCATACTAATTACGAACGGGCGGGAACCCCAACCATCGACCACCGCACAAAGTTTCAACGGTTTTTTTTCCCTCTCGATTTTTTTTTTTTTGTCAGCTCGACGACCTCGTCGACGAGGAGTCTGGCTTCCACCCAGAGTCCCTCGCGAGGGTGGTCACTGGCCACCCTCCATCTGAGGGCTACTCGCAGTGAGATTTGCATCAGCGGAAAGGATCTTCTCCGAACTGAAACAATTTAAAACTATTATATATAACGACATGCCTATAATGACAGGCCTACCCAAACCGAGAGGGAGGTCAGCAGGTCATTGAATTACAAGAAAGCCATCGACGAGCTGGTGGCAAAGGTTCCGAGAGCACGAACGCTAAATCTTTGGACAAGTAACACAAATTCCTCTCCTTTCCTTGCCTACTGAAAATGCAGCGATTTTCATTTTTTTTTTTTCCTAATATAACTTCGAAGAAAACTGAAGCGAGGGGCAAATCTCCGGAACCCAGAGGTGGCCCAAGGTTAAGTGAGGGTAAGCGAGGGTAAGCGAGGACAAGATTGAAGGAGAAAGCCTTTGACTTTTTTTGGTAAGATCGACTGGCAGGACCGATAAGCCTGAAATGCCTTAGCCTGGGCTCCAATTCGATGAAGCTCCTCAGGTCTTTCGATTTCCGAACAGAGAATTCCTTCAACTCACCGTTTCCCTCGACCCAAAGGGATCCACGACGCGAGTTTCCTTGGGATCGCCTCGATGTTTGGGCTCAGAAGTGCTCAATCCCGTCCGATTCTATCGGAGAACACGGCAAAACCGCTTCAGTCCGTCGTCCTAGTGCACTACCGACATCTACGCTATGGCGGCGAACAAGAGGTTTTCGTATCGCATTCAAAGGTGTCGTTACTTGCGACTGTCAGACATGGCGCTCCACTCGCCGCGCGGTGCTGCCTCTGTTTGTGATGCTCACCCTGTTGCTCAATGTGAGGTTCAGTGCTGTCTCAAGCGAGACCCATGCTAATTATAATTTATGTATGGATTTAAATTATAAAGAGACTGTCATTTTTCATTTGAGCGAGAATTATAGTATTTTCCAAGTAGTGTTAGGTTCGAATTGGAGTTTCGCTTGACACGCTCTGGGAGACTGAGTTCTTATCACCATTTTCAAAGCTTCGTGCGACCGCTTTGTAGGACTAATCTAAGCCTATTCGCAGAGAAACTGTTGAATACAATTGAAATGTGCAATTCTAGGCCCAAATGCCTAGTTGGGGCATGCTATAAGTCTTAAATAATTTTATCAGACAATAAGATTAGGCCTACTAGCTAGACTCAAGCTATCCTGTCACTGGCCCCTCATTGACCTACTGGAGTGATAAGGAAACTTCTTCTATATGCGGGAAAAGGGGCAAACAGTAACTTGGTTATACTTACACACTAAGCTGATAAATATTTAATCCCTAGACACAGGGAAGCCAATTAATTTAGAACCGCAATTTTTAACCTATCCCTCGCGAACTGCATGTTTGTTGTTTATGATTTGGTTGCAAGAAGCAAAACAAAAGCTGAAAAAAGAGGCAAAGATATGGAAGGAAATGAAATCATAACTAGACCTATCAAGTAAGTGTAGGCAAATCTAGGCCTAGGCCTATTCTTTAATAATCAGTCCTAAGGATATCCTGCATTGGGGCTTTCTCCAGTGTCATTTACATTTGTATTGAGTAGGCCCTGGCCCAAATCCATTCAGAGCATGGGAGCAATGACCAAAGTGCTTGTTGTGTGAACTTTTTTTTGGAGAAGTTCATATTGAGGCAGTAAATTTTATTGATTTAATAAGAAACCAAGTACTTCCTCAAGCTTCTTCAGTGGATGCAGCAGATTTTTTTCTTGCATTGTTTTATATTTCATGTTTTGATCACAGCAATTTCTTTTTATTCAAAGGCCTCATCCTCCTCCTCCTCTTTGATTCAGTACGCAATGCATGAGCACTCTTCCAGTAGTCTCAATTGGGTAATATGGGAGATACTGCAAGTTTTTCCCTACCTGTTGCTTTTATACTGCAGTTGTGTTTTCTGAAATGGTGTTTTTAGACTATTGTTATGAAGAATGCAGATTGGGAAGAGCATAATAGGATCATAAACATTTAGTTAACTGAATATTGGGTTGGCTGAAATGAAACCAAAGCTCTTGAAGTAATGGAGACTATAGGTTATGATTTTTCTCCTTGGTTAGACCCATTCTCGAATGTGTCTCTGAGCCATGGGATGCTCATGATGCAGGAAATAGACCCTTCTGGAGCAACTTCATAATGTAGGGGCTTATTCATCTGCAATGACTGATATAGGCCCTTGGGTGGCAAACCCTAGTAATTGGAGGTTAGAATGTATGGTTTCCTCTTCTGGATAAAACCTGGCTTGGTAAGCCTGAATTTTATGCTTGGAAATGCCTGCCAGATGTGACATAAAATAGGAATAGAAAAAGCATGCCAGGCTTATCTTCACAGCACATGAGATTTATATGCTAAAATTTAAATGCCCCTTGGATGTTGACAGATCAGAATGCCCCCTTCTGTATCTCAAAATATTATAATTTCATGCTTTCCTATGCATCAGGTGACTAACTTCAGGGAGGAAAATGGACTTCCTGGCAGATAATAACTTGTGTGGACAGGAGCTGTTGGGTTTGGTATCTCGTGGGAACGCTATCATTGCAGAACTCCAGCGGCTCAGCGATAACATTCCTTCTGTCTTCAAAGCTAACAGCAAGGCAGACACGTCACGTTATGCCAAACTCATGGTCGACTTTAGCTACTTCCAAACATTAGAGGTCTTCAACAAGGAAATTGAGGAAAATGCAGATCTCCAAGACCTAGATGATGAATTGCGTGAGAATTCAATGCGAATTTTGAGCCGTTTCTATGGTGCATTTGAGAGCGTCCACAAGTTTGTGAGTGATCTAAAACAATTCCTGTCTCATCTGGAGGAGGGCATTTACATTCAACAAACAATGGAGTCTGTATTTTCAAATGATATTGGGAAGCAACTGATGTGTGAAAGCCTTTTCCTCTATGGAATGATGCTGATCATTGTTGATGCAAAATTTGAAGGTGAGACTCGGGAACGAATGCTTGTGGCATACTACCGATACAGTGGGATTCGTTCCTTTGGTGAGAGCAACATTGATGATGTATGCAAGCTTCTCAGATCCACTGGATATAGTTACAGTTCCCTACAGAAGCGGCCACTCAAATACCCAGAAGTGTATTTTTCTAGAGTTCCAATCGATGAAACATTTGTGAACATGGTTATTGGTCGCCTCAGATCAGATGATCTCTACAACCAGATCTCAGCATATCCCTCTCCAGAGCATCGCAGCACTGCTCTGGCAACCCAGGCCTCCATGCTATATGTCTGTCTCTATTTTGCACCCAACATTCTCTGCAATCAAACGGCAAAAATGCGGGAGATCGTAGACAAGTATTTTGCTGACAATTGGGTTATCACCATTTACATGGGAATGGTTGTGAACCTCATTGATGCCTGGGAACCATATAAGGCAGCTCGAGCAGCCTTGGCGAACAATTTGGAATGGAGTGCCATCAAGGATTCAGCAAGCCAGCATGGTCAGCGAATGCAGAAATTAATTGCTGAAACAAGTGACTGGTTGAAAGAGGGTGCTTTAAATGAGAATACAGTCTTGGATCACATGAATCGCATTTTGAACCGTATGAGAGACTGCAATGTGTCTCTGAGATGGCTCATGCTTCACACTGCCACCACAACACCCAGTGCTGAATCAAACAAGAAGTGCAGGCAGGTACGCGATCTGCTGCTGAATGAATCTAAGTGCTCATCGGTTTTGCTTCTGAAGTTCCTCCTCAATGCAGCTGAATTTGAGCTGAAAGTGCGGGATATTTATAAATTTCTGCTGCAAGAAAAGGAATCTAAGTGGAAAACGTACAAAACTGAATGCACTGAACGAATGACAGAATTATCCGAAGTTTTTGCCGGTACAAAGCCTCTCAGTCGCATAGAGAAAAACGAGAAGCTTCAGGCATGGTGCGCCGACATCAGCAAAGAAATCGGACTCCTGGACTCCTCCGACATCCCCGCCGTCGGCCGCAAGATAGTCAACATCATCCAGGCCCTGGAGGAGGTGCAAGAATTCCATCAACTTGAGAGTAATTTGCACGTGAAGCAGTGCCTGGAAGAGACGGGGAAGTTCCTGCGATATCTTCTTCGACTGGTGAACGTCAACGAGAAGACCCTGACCATCATACAGATAGTGGGAGACGTCAGCTACGCGTGGGAGATAGTCGACAGTGTCACACCCCAGATGCAGCAGGAGATCACCAAAGATCCTGGAATCGTGTCCAAGTTACGCGCTGTCTTCTTGAAGCTCTCGTCTGCGCTGGACCTTCCTCTTCTCCGAATCCACCAGGCCAAGAGTCCCGACCTTGTCTCTGTCAGCGACTACTATTCCAGGGAGCTTGTAGCATACGTTCGAAAGGTGTTACAGATCGTGCCCGAATCCATGTTCACGGTCCTGGATAAAATCGTGAAGTTGCTCACACACCAGCTGAAAGACATTCCCACGAGACTGGAAAAGGATAAACTAAAAGAATATGCTCAATTCGACGAGAGGTTCGAGCTGGCCAAACTCACGCACAGCGTGTCTGTCTTCGGAGAGGGCATCCTCAAGATGAAGACCACCCTCGTGGGCATCATCGAATTGGATCCCAAGCAACTCCTCGAGGATGGGATCCGGAAGGAGCTGGTGCGGCAGCTGAGCACCATCCTCGACAATGGCCTTATTTTCAGCCCCAGGGCCAAGCAAAGCGAACTCGAGTCGCGTCTCAATCACGTCGGGAAGAAGATGGAAGGGTTTCGAAAGGCCTTCGAGTACATCCAGGACTATCTGAACATCTGCGGCCTGAAGATCTGGCAGGAGGAGATGACGCGAATCATGAACTACAACGTGGAGCGCGAGTGCAACAGCTTCCTCCGAAACAAGGTGGAAGACTGGGAGAGTCTGTACCAGAGCAAGGCCATCCCCATTCCCAAGTTTCCGCCGAAAGACGCGGACTCCATCACCTTTGTTGGGCGCCTGGCGAGGGAGGTACTCCGGATCACGGATCCGAAGAAGACCTGCTACATTGAGAAGATGTGGAGCTGGTATGATCATCGATCGCATAATGAAGTGGTGAATGCGAGGATCTTCTCCCTGGTTGAAAGCAGCATCGGGACCTGTGGGCTCTATGGGCTGGATCGGATCTTCTCCTTCATGTTGGTCACCGAGCTCCAGGGATGCATCGATGCCATCAGGGCGTCTGCCATGTACAAGGACAAGGGTGCAGTCGAGTCGCTCTCGCACCTGCAGGGCTCGGTGTCTCGCCCTGCAGATTTTGCGGCTCACACGTTGAAACTGGTGCAGCAAGCCCAGAGTCGTCATGGGAAATATCTCGCTTCCCTCGTGGACTCGTTGATGCGCATCGGACAGATGCAGCTCCTTCGTCGCCGCATCGGCCACGAACTCAACTCCTCGTGCAAATTTGATTCCAAGCACCTGGCGAGCAGTCTCGATGCATTCAACAGAGCTCTTCTTGCCGCCATCCAGGATCATTACCGAGACCCGACCAAAGCGTATCCAGGCGAGGATAATGCGATCCTCTACGAGCTCAACGCGTACCTCGAGTACGCCGGCATGTGCGACCCCCTGCGGAAGATCTACGTGACCACCAATCCGCTGGACCACCTGAGCGCCCTCCTTTTCCTCCTGCTTCACTCCGTCTTCCCGCGCTTCGCGCTCACGCGGTCTCTTCCCGTCCTCGTGCCCAAGAAGCTGCAGGACGGCATCGACGGCCTGCCCGTCGTCGTGGGGATCTTCACACTGTGCAAGCAGTTCCACTCGGCCGTCGCGAAGGAGTTCCTGCTGCTCCTCGCCTGCTTCGTTCGATCCCAGATCGAGGTGGCCATCGGGGCGAACCGGATGGCGGAGATCCCGCCCGATGTCCGCGTGGCCGTCCACTCCTTCCAGCAGTTTTGCGGGTTCGCGGGTCTCAGTGCCAAAGAAATTGACCTGCAGTTGCCTTCCATCGTCTTCTCGGAATCTTGGAATAGCACTCCCAAATGACATCTTTTTCAAACGGAAGTCTCAATTGCAGAAGTCAGGCAATTTTTTTTGTGATGATTGGCGGAGTGCTGATGGCATTCATTCGTGCAGGGAGGAAATTCGCATCGAAGGAATTATATTTCGAAATTGGAACTTGGCGCCATCGGTGTCTTCTCGTCTTTTGTGGCAGTTGTTGAGGGAAAACAACTTTCATGAGCGTTTCAACTGGTAGGGAGTCGAGAATCCAGAAGAAAAATGTGCATATATTTTGCCTGTGCTGCAACTTTGAAGCATTTATGACTCAGATGTGATGACAAGATGTGATTTGTTATGATTTTTTGGTCCATATACCCTGTTCCCAGTCATTCTTTGGTTATCATATCAGATAGGCTCTTATTATGAAGTTTGCATATTTATAAAGAATGTATTCTCAAATAAACGTCCGTTGAAAGTTTTTCAGGTGATAATGATGAAGCAGCAGCGAGAGAAACCCGTGAAAGTGAAGGAGTTGATCGAGAGAAAAAAGAAATACAAAAAATTGCGTGAGGAGAAGCTCTTGGAAAAGTTACGGAAAGAGAAGGCGAAAATCGAGGAGGCCCCGAACGACACGAAAGTGGACGCAAAAATGGACGCAAAAGTGGACGCAGAGGCCAAGCCAGCGACGAAGACGGTGAGCCTCGCCGTGCCAGGCTCCATCATGGACAACGCGCAGTCCCCGGAGCTGCGATCGTACCTCGCGGGGCAGGTCGCCCGGGCGGCGGCGATCTTCCGCGCGGACGAGGTGATCGTCTACGACGACCTGTGCAGCGGGACGCTCCGCGAGGACTTCATCGCCGTGAAGAAGGGCGTCGGGTGCATCCAGATGGCGCGGATCCTCCAGTACCTCGAGTGCCCTCAGTACCTGAGGAAGTACTTCTTCCCGCTGCACGACGACCTCGGCTACGCCGGGCTGCTGAATCCGCTGGACATCCCGCATCACCTGCGCAGCCACGAGGAATGCCCGTTCCGGTGAGTTCTTTTCGAAGATCGTAAGGTGGCAACTCGATTGATGGCTGTTGGCCTGTGAGAAACAGAGTAGCTTTCATCCTTTATACGGCTGCCCTCATGGAAGATATTCTATGCTGCTCCTCAGGCAATGATGTCATGAAGTGTCTAATAGAGGATTTTTCTGCACATTTTCTAATTGGGAATGTTTGGATTTAAAAAAGATATGATCACGGACCTTAACCTTTAAACGACCAAGCTGGGTCTAATTTGACCCCAGAGCCCATGTTGTAACACGCGAAACTTCGAGGCTTGGTAGTTTCAGGGTTAAGCAGCGAGACACGGATCGCCCAAACGGTACTCAAGTTGTCCCTTCCCCTGATATCTGTCTCAATTTTCTCCTCCACTAAAAACTTGTACGAAGGAAGGATTCTCTTTCCGAGCCCAGAGAACCCCGAGGTGGAAACTCGAGTGCGAGACCGAAGTAACTGGACGATATGGCCCGAATGCCGAGACCTCCTTTAGTTAACGGTCCTCTAAGTATAGGGGTCACTTCGTGGACTCGAGGGCTATTTAGCTTAAAGGCCTCATTGTCTCCCCTAAGAGGTTTGTGCAATTCAAGTATTTAAGAGTTACCCAGGATGGAAGCAAAAACCTTTTGGGAGTAGGATTACGTCTTAGGCATCTGAGCTAAAAAAAAACAAAAAAAACAACCAGAATGAGACTTGGTCACTTCACTCTTTGGACCTATTTCTTATGGAATCAAGTCATGTTTTGAAGTTCTTCTTGGAAGCAAATAAATAGTTCATGGCAGAACGGTAGCCACAAACTTGAAAAAAGCTACGCTAATTTTTTTTTAGTTCGGAAATCAAGAAGAATTGGGAGTGAGACCAGAAAGCAAAGTAGGGAGCTGTAAGCAGAACTTTTCAGCTATTCCTTTCTAATCGAGAAAGCGAAAGAAAAGCGAAGGGAATGATGTGGAGAGAGAGAGACCCGCGTAGCGGTTGGGACCCCTAATGGATTGTAGACTGCTTATGTACGGAATGATCCAGGAACATGCGCATGTCTCCTTGCTTCCAGGGAAGGGATTGTGACGACGAAACCAACGAAGCACGGCCGGGGCTCCTACGCGAATATCGGCCTTAAGGGGGATATTAAGTTGGACCTGAAACTGGAACCCGGTCTCCGAGTCACCGTGAAGCTGGACGAAGGCCAAGACCCAGCGGCCGACGAAGGAAATCTCCGTGGGAAGGTCGTGTCGCCCCAAGCGCCCAAGCAAGAGCTCGGACTCTACTGGGGCTACACGGTGCGCCTGGCGGACAGCCTCGGCGCGGTCTTCTCCCAGCCCACCTTCGGTCGGAGCTACGATCTGTGCGTGGGCACCTCCGAGAGGGGCGATTCCGTGGATGACGTCAAGGTGCCGGATTTCGATCACCTGTTGGTGGTGTTCGGTGGCGTGAAGGGCCTCGAAGCAGCGTTGGATGCCGATCAGAGCTTGGTTGCTTCGGATCCCAAAGATCTCTTCGACCTTTATCTCAACTTGTGTCCGCATCAGGGTTCCAGGACCATTCGGACCGAAGAGGCCATTCTCGTGGGGTTGTCCGCCCTGAGGCCCAAAGTCTACCCGCACCTTGGACTGTGATGGATTCTTTTCGTGGATTTACCGGGGCCTAATATTTTGTTATGAAATTGTGATTCATATGAGAATGTGGGCCCAGAAGGGCAGCAAATTGAAAATCTCCTGGGTGCTGACAGTGTCCCAATGTTGTTTTCTTGATCGGTTGATGATCTTCCTGCTTTCATTGAGTCAATGTTGATTATTTTGAGAATTGGTTAGGTTCCAAAATCTGCAACTGGGACAGAATGCAAATTTTTCTTGCTATTCATGTGAGGAGGTGCTCAAGGATCCAAAAAGTTGGCTCCTGCAGTTGCTCTGCAAACTGAGCTCATGACCTAAGTTGCTGTTTTAAAGAATTCTGTTTTGAATGCATTGAACTCATTTATAATGGAGTGTGTACCTTTGTGAAATCCTTGACTGTAGCTTTTGTGAGTGAAGATGAGTGTGTTTTTTAATCAATATTTTTCCACAAAAAAACTGCTCTTATCATAACCTTTTTTTTCCTCTTCACGTGAAGTGCATTGATGGGATGATAGCTACAAGTAACAAAACTTATATGAGATATATAGCTATTGATTTGAGATATGAGATATATAGCTATAGATATGAGAAATTCATTTGTAGCTTAGAATTTCAAGTGCTGCTTACTGTGGCCTTCCCCCCCATATTTAAAAGGTTTCTCTGATTCATGTGCAGTCTGTGTGGAAGTGATGCTCTGTGGGGTAGATTGGACTGAGAATGTGAAGAAGTACTGAATGATGGGACACAGCATTCTTTGCAAATATCTGGAATCTTGAAAAGTGATGACTGCAGCTTGTCCTTGAACACTTGATGGTTCCCCCCTCAGCCACCGGAAGTCTTCTGGCTTCTCGGCTCGGGGATTCATCGAGGCTCGAGTCGACGAGCAGACGCCAAGATGTCGGCTGCAAGTCTGTGGAGATTTGGCGATCGGTTCGTCGTGTTTCTGAGGGGACACGGGGCACCTGTTGTCAAAATGCATTGAAAAGCTGGATCCACATGTGCAGTTAGTCTGTCATCTGAAAATGCTGATGGTGGGACCTTAAGAATATAAGGGCATCACAACTAAATTCAGGATATTTGCAAGGAATGAACTTGTGCATCAAATTGCCCTTGTTGCTTCCAAAAAAAAAAAAAAACTCCCCATAGAGTGACTCTTGAGACACCCAGTATAAGTTTCTATTCCCTGTCTGATCATTATTTTCATTTCCAGTGTATTCTTGCTCCTTGATTTATAGGTTAAATGAAACACAGCCAGTTGTTGGTGCCAGTGTCATTGCCATGGAGTGCATTTACCGTGTGAGTCCTTTGAGGAAGAAAAGGAAAAAATGTAATCTCCTCAAGTCCTGGTAAGTTTGCCTTGTTGTTGCATGCCATATTATTATGTATGCAATGGGTTAGATGGAAAAGCTGTGACTTATGTTCATGAGTTTTCTGCCCTTTGGAATATTTGCTTATTTTTGACACACAGGCCATGAGCTGCATGTGTGAGATTTCCCAGAATTCTGTCAGGCAAAAAGGTGGAAGGAGTCTTCCATTAATTTTGGACAAAGAGGAAAATGAACTGATGAACATAAGTGCCCTTTTACAGCCTATCAGATGGGCAGCATAGCAAATGCTGGGCTGCACTTGAGAGACCAAGTCACATTTTTACATTATTATTCATATTTGCAAAATTATTTTGCATTGTTTTTTTTTTAGGAATCAGGGAGCAGAAGTTTGAAGTTTGACATTCATCTATCAGTAATATATTTCAGAATTTCTGTGGACCATTCCATATGGTACCATTGCTCCGTTATAGGGTGGTCCCTTATATTTCACCTTTGCATCTGTAATGATACATAATGTATCCTATACCACATCACTTGTACTGCCTTATTGCCCCAGTCCACAAATCATGGCTTCACATACTGTACTAGAAGTATATGTAAGTGGGTTCTTGATAATGGACAGCATCTGAAATTGTGACAGGGATGTCATATTAAGTATGTTATCCTTTATTTTGGATGAATGGGTATGTAATTGTGGACAACCCTCTATTTCCTTGAAAATTTTGACATGTATTGACATTGATTTTGAAATGGATTCTGTTGTAATTTCATAAGCCTTGTAGGTGCATATTCCACTAGACCTTCTGTTGAGGTGGAAGAAAGGGAAAAGAAGGAAGAAATATGCCAGCTTTGAGTTATTTCTAAAGTAAATGACTAGCGTTTTATGTATCACATATTGGTGTCAGACACTGATGCTATGCTAGTAAGAAATATAAGTAGGCAATGAAATTTTTCTCTAGAATTTCAATCCTCAAGGAGAGATTCTGGTTCATGTATTCATTTTTTCTCAGATTTCTAACCATATGATTAGTTGCATTACACAGGTGCACCCTATATTTCCAGGAGGAGAGAAGATGACCATGTGTTATGTCGCTTGTCCCCCCAGAATGTTGTTGCGTTCACGTCGTCATCACCCGACATAGACTCGACTGGCTGCCCTGGGTCACGTTACAACATCTATGTGTGTGACATCAACACACCCTGGGAGGTTCACAGGTGATTGAGAGACAATATGCTTTTTTGTCATCTTCGTTTATGCATGAGGTGGGCCATTACCGAAACATGTGGTTTAAATTTTCTTCAAGACATGGAGCCAATTCATGTAAGGAGGGCAGTTTCCAGTTGAAGATGACTCCCTATGTTATAATTGTTCAATTTGTGGAGATAATTCATCAGAGCATATATGATGAGAAGTATGAGGAAGTTGGATTGATTATTTCCTCAAGAGTGAAATCTTTTTCACTACAGGATTGTGGGAAGTGAAGAGCCAATCACTCAGGTGGAGTGGGACCTCAGTGGGGCCCGACTGGCTGTTGCCGATGGGAAGGGTGTGATACAGGTGTGGATGATGAAGGATTATGTCATCAACGACTGGGTCTTGATGAATACTTTCAATGACATGGGAGGGGAGCAGATATTGTGCATTGCCTGGTTCCACAATGGAAAGAAGGTGAGATACCTTGCATTGAGTCAAAGTTTTGCTTTCTTTGATTGTGTATTGGCAAAAAGGGAGGTAATACAGTGATGTTGGAACAACTTTAAAATGTTCCCTTTATGGAGACCATTGTCTTTCATACTCCTGTCAGTTTTGTGAAGGAGTGGTTCCATGACTAGAAAAGAAGAGTTATAGCTTAATCTCTTAGTGTTCGACTCTATGAAATATTTTAAATATCTAAAATCTTGAAATTAAATGTAGCTACCCAGAATGTAGTAGTTTCTCTGAAGTGACTCAAGGCATCCTTTGGTTGATTTCTTTCTTTCACAGCTGTCATCTTCACCTGAGCAACAGGAAGGAATCCTGTACTCTGAGAAGTTCAAGCCTGTGCCTTTTGCCCCAACCTGTTGTCAGTTTGGGAAGCGACCGATGGAGGGGCTGGTCGTCGCGAGCGTGTCGGGACTCCTGGCCACTTTCATCCTCCGCATCGATGCCTCTGTACTCTCTGCCATTGAGAAGCTTGGCCCTGAGCTGCACACACTTGCCATGGTTGACTTTGCATATGAAAAAAGTGAGGAATATGCTGGAAAATCTTGTTAAGATGAAATTGGATACTTTGAAAGTCTCATCCCTGGTTGAATACTCATATTCTTTTTAAGATATTCTCCTTCCAATAAACTTCCTTTTTGTAGCAGAATAATTTTATAAGCCCCCTATCTCTTCTTTTCAAAATTTTATTATATACCATGTTCTGCTATTTAGTCATAGTTTGCAATTCCTCTCATAATAGACCAAGGCCAATGTATTGTTACTACAGCTATGCAAGGGTATTGTCAGGTAATACTTGTCTCATGTCTTCCCTTTCATTTATATGTGGCTCACATTGGTGGTGTGATTTTCATATCTGAAGGAAGCAAAGGGTACTCAGTCTAAGGAAACTGTGGGCAACAAAAGATTGCACTCTGAATGAAATTAGATCTTATCTACTATTCTTTTTCACTTAAATTTTCTAAGATGGAGACATGGCATTGGCCTGTGTGAGCAGGTCATCCTCTGCCTGCATTCGAATGTACAGTCTACAAATCAGAGTGAGTGGGGATTCTATGAATGTCACTGTTCAGAATCTCCCAGCAATATTCCCAACACTGCATTCTTCCTACATAGGTGAGTTTTTTGTTGTTGGGTTCAAGTCTTGAATTGAGATCATCTCTGTAACATCTTTCCATCGGAATGTTCCAGTGTCATGTGTGCAGTTCCTATTGAAAGAGGACCCAAAGGGGCTTCTCATTGCAATGCATGAAAAGACAAGGCACTCATGCGTTATGGAGTCAGAGGTGACTCGTTGGAGGCTGAGTGAGAAGTTGGACCCAGTTTCCAAACACTTTGGGGGATCCACCTCAGTTGTGTGCATTCAGGTGTGTTGCAATCATGCCAGTTTGTTTTAAATCTTTTTCTTCCTTGTATATCCTGCCATGCATTCATTTTAACAGGCTCTGATGCGAATATGTCACAATAGTAGCATAGTATCATTCAGTGATCCACAGAAGTAACAATGGTTTAAAAGAATAATCATATGATGATGCACTTAAAAAAGCACCAGGTACCACCACCTCTGCACCATTTACTTTGGTATTTCTCTAAATTTATGTGTTTTATTCCTTGGCATATTTTGATGTCTTGCTCTGTAATCAGAATATGGCAAAGAAATAAAAAACAACCTATAACTGCTGCGTTTGCTCTAACTGTTGTAATTATTGCAAAAGCTGCACTGTTCATATTTTGATATATAACCAAAAGATATTATAAATTATGCCCTAACTTTCTTTCACCAAAACAAGCAATTTCAAGCAGTTATTGAAAAGAAATCAGAATTTCCAAAATGGATGGGGAACTGGGTCCTTTTGAAGTGACCTTACACTGCCTACCTTAATATTCTATGTAAACCAAGGGAAATTCAGATCATACTTTGAGAAAGCGCTGTGATGATTAATTGATTAATTTGTTTTTAATTAATTAGTTAGTGTTAATTAGTTGATTAATTAATGGTTAATTTGGGAGAAGCTCTTGGAAGCCATCTAAAAGAAAAGGTCAGTCCAAAGAATGAAATTCAATTGAGGATAAGTCAGCTGTGGCCTGAAAGATGCACAAGCTGAGTGTGAAGTTGTGAACTCTGAGCTTCCAGCACAAACTCTTGTGCTTTTCAATATCCAACTTTCTTTAAAAGATTTATTGTAGCATTGCTTTGGCAAGATGAATCGCAGTAAATTTCTGATGCCATACCTGCATGCACCATTTGTTAAAATTCTATAAACACACAGTGGATGCTAGGACATCCAGGTTTTTGACATGTGGTATGAGTTGCATGGAAGATTTCATGGTAATAGTGTTTGGTCATGCTAAGGAGCTTGGTGTTACAACTATATGGTGTTCATTTTGCCAGTAAACCCAAAGAAATGTAAATTTAAAAATAACAATAATTCAGATATACATGAAACTTAGTGATATGATACCTCGTAAACAAGACATTTAAAATAGTCAGTAGTTATAGTTACTCCACATCATAACACTTGTTGAAATTGGTCCCTGCCATGTTCAATGCACAAACATGCAGGGCAAAGCATGTTGCTGGACACACACTGTAGTACTGTGGACTGAATGTTGTGTATCGAATATGGTGGTGGCCACTTCCAGCATATGTTGTGATGTGTTGTGACAGACTATGACTGTGATTATCATTTTGCACTCTACAATGTCTTGGTTCTCATATCACCAAGCTTCACATATATCTGAATTATGGTTTTTTTTTTATTTGCATTTCTTTGGGTTAACTGGTAAAATGAACATGCTGTATTACTTCATGTAGCTCTTGAAAGAGTAAAATTATTTTTTTCATGTAGTTGGTATTATGACTTAGATATATGAGGTCTTTAATGCTTTAGTGAATTAGGCCATAGATTAGCTGCTTGAAATGATTTTGAGGAGAAGGTAGCCTTTATCAGTCATGTTGGTAAATTTGTTTTAAAATATATATAGTCATGAGCTTGAATAAAGGAATCTATAACACAGAATATGGTATAGAGGTAGATATAGTATGAAGAGTTTGGTATAGCATTGCACTGAGAGCCTTACATTTAATAGATTTACAAATTCCTTCCTGTCTTCATTAGTTTTATTTTGTTCATAAATGAAAATGATGTATTTTTGCTGATGTTAGACTTGGGAAAAGGGGGAGCATTGCAAATTGCCTGGAGAGGTGAAGGAGATTTTGGTGCCTTTCTCGACCCTGGACAATGGGCCTCCATCGCACATCGTTGTCTCCACGATCACTGGCACCCTGCACTGTCTCTCAGGGGACTCCTTCACCAAGGTTCTCTTCTGCTTCCTACTTCTAGTCTCTAGAGTCCATTCAGAGAGTTTCATAGTTTCATTGTGGATAGTCAGATTCTATTTGTTCATAAAATTAATTCATGCAATTATTTTACACGAGTAAATAAAATTAGTAGTTCAACAACAGTAAGGTGGCTTATGAAGAGAGGTGTGGAATCTGTGCAGGCTATGGCCATTTCTTTGAGCCCCTTTTCATTCTATTGATCTGACAGACCATGTTGGAATCACCTCTCATTCTCTGATTCCTTCTAGAATAGTTTGATCGGTTTTCATCAACTGTCATGTCATCAGCAAAGTTCATCAGTAAGAAACTTTGTTGATGAACCTCAGATGAACACTCCCTCAGTTACCTACAATATCCTGTCAATCTCAGTCTAATCATGATGCTTGTTGAAACGCAATCATCTTTATCATTTTCTAGGTATTCAGTAAGGAGCATGAGTTGAGGGGAGCCAAAGACAGTGTAGAAGGAATGGAGCTGAAACGCTTGAAGGCAGAATTGGGACCTGTGATACAAAGCATTCGTTTCTCGTGGTCTGCTTGTTCCTTCCTTCTCCTTGACGTCAACTCTTCCCTCTGCCTCTATCGATTGGTACATCACAATGAACCTGGTGTGTGTTCCACTTTATGCCCATCTACAATCCATCCTGAGGAATGCATGCATGAAATGTTTTTAGTGGGGTTTAAAAGAAAATAATCTTTCGTTTCCCTCCTTCCTGACTTTGAGTTTTGCCGTATTTCTACATCCATACATTCAAGAACTTGGAATGTGAGTAAATTGAACAGAAATACCCCTTAGTACAAATTGGAACTTGTTGCTTGGCTTCTTATGATGCTGCTCTGTAATGTTATTTTGTCTGCATCGCTTCATATGGGCTTCCTTCCTTTGAAAACTTCTCAATATTTTCAGCAACTGTGTAGTTTCTCTGGCAGGCAGACAATGGTAAAAAGTGCCGTATTGAACTTGCAGTTTCCAAGGGATTCTGGATTCGTTTTATTTTGTTATTTTGTTTATTTTATTTATATAGACTGTTGCTGGATGAATCTTCACATATGATTCCATGTCAGTGGTCACTTCTTGATGTCAGTTCTGCTTTGGTTGTTGTATAGATTGATCAGCATGGTGTAGCAAATGGCATTCATTATTGCTATATAATCATAATTGGATCATCTTCTACTGGTACTTTATCAAATCTATTACCTTTACCATATTATCTTTTTAGGACAGTATTGGGGTGGTGTTTGTAATAAAGTTGCTTTGAGAATTATTTGAGGTTGGCGCAGAGCATGAAGATCCAGAAAGTCTTAACTCACATTTTAATGTAAGCAGTATGGTCCTTTATCAATCCATCAATTACTGTTATTTTGCACAGGTGGAAACTTGAGCACAGCATATGGAGTGCACCTGTTGGAATACAGCCTGGTGATGGGGTTGGACTGGTGGGACATCATCCTGAGTCTACGTCCAGGCATGGCAGAGACCGTCTGCGAGCGGGTGGCCGATTTTGCCGCCAAGCAACCCCTTCCTCTTCAGCAGTATTTCTACACTCGAATCATGGCCCTCAAGATGAACCTCTATAGGTGCATGCCAATTCCTTATAATTTCTGTTAGACTATGAATTGTACTTTAGATTGGGGATCTTTTTCCATGGGGGAAGCTTTTCCCAAGCTGTTTGCATTGCTTTCCTCTGCCTGGTTGTTTACATTTGGGGTTTTAGATTCCTGCAAGATCCTTTCCCTTGGTCCTTACCCCTCATGCAACCAAGAGGATAAATCAGGATAGAAGACATTTTAGTGGTGGAATGAAAATTAGTTCTCAGAAGTGCAAAAAACAATAACTTTCTTAGAGTTGCATGTTTTATTGCTAAAAAAAATATCATGCTTGGTTATTCCATTTGGCTAACCTCTCTAAGAAATGACTCATGTTGAGTGACAATGGATTAATAGGCTGCAGTGGTTTGTTAATTTTCAGCATAATTAGAGTTTCTTTATCCTGAATGGTTGCCTGTGAATTTTGCTTAATGGCATTGTTCCTGAGGTCTACTTTACTGTGGTCACATAAGTGAGACAAAATTCCATTCGTGTATATTGTTGTGTTCCTTGTACCTGCATTATGCTTGAGCTATTGTTTTACTGAATTGAATAGGTTTCGGCCAGCGATAATCGACTGAGGTCATCATTCTCATTTCCACAATTTTCTCATGACTCAGTATTTCATTCACCTCAACTAGTCCTCTATCCTCCCTTTGAACTTCATCTACCACTTAAAACCTTTTCAATTTCCTAATTGAACATGGCATGGCTGGGACCATGAACAGCAGACTCTTTAGGAAATGAGAATATGAACTTGTTTACCCTCATTAACTCATAATCAAGTGGTGGGTAGTTTTAGGGAAATCTGGGCTTTCTTATGCTTTAATATTATGGCTGGCATTATGTCTGTGTCATTTCCTCATGAAGAAGGCAGATTGCATTGCATTTTTTTCTGTCTCTCCTCCTTCTGTAGGTATGTTCCAGGTGGAGGTTACAGGGTTGCAAGTTGTAATACATTGGTGATGCTGCACTCAGTGGCAGCTGCATTTCGATCTGTGCTCCGTCCTTCGGAGCTTGCCAGCCACGACAAAGGCCCTGCGGAAAACCTTGCCAGTGAGTTCAGGCTTGTCAAGGAAAGTTCCTGATTGTGTTCCAGTATTGTGAAACTGGGTGAATTATGAAAACAGGTATTATGTACAGCTTGACAAGCATACACAAAACAATAGGTTTCTAGAGCATACAGTTGGAGTGTTCCTGTATGGGTGTAGATTCCCTGCAAATGGAATCAAAATGGCTGTTAAGTCTTCTTGGCTGGGCTCATTAGATTCAGATTCAGGATCTAAAGGGAAATATACATTATTTATACAAAGTTTTGAGGTGAATAAGTCTGGGAGCCTGGTGCCAAACTGCTCAGGTGTTTCATGTGTCAACTGGTTGCAGTCATCTATCTGGATGATGTTATCCAATGGTTCCTTGCCTCTCAATCACTAAATTTGAAAATTGTGACCTTTACTACTAGAAGGTTATGCCCAGCCTTCAAATGTAGTAAGTTACTCTCAAAACTCCTACTTCCCTGCAAATAACTGGAATTGTCATTGCAAATTCCAAGAAAATAAAAATATTAAGCATGGCTTTAAGTTCTGAGACTTCTCAAACCCAGGCAGCATCTTGAAGGGAAAAATGATAACCTTTTCATAGTAGAAGCTTCAACAATTCATCCTTTGAAAGTACAGAAATGATTGTTGATATCCATCTGAAACTTCATAAATATCCTGCTTTGATGTTCAGGGACATATATAGCATGCCAGTAAAATTGTTATTTGCAACACCTAGCCTCTATTCCCAGTTCTGTGATAAGGTTTCAGATAAAGTTTTTTAAAGTATGAAGGGGTCTCAAAAAATAAGGGTCCCCAATTTCTTGCTCCAAACTTATTTATTTTAGTAACCAAGACATCTATCTATATAAGCAAGGATCTCTGTCTCTCTCTGTCCATCTGACACTCAAATATCATTGAGAAACTCATTTAAGTTAGCTTTTTGTGAAAGAAGAGCCCCTTTGAGTTAAGAATTAATTTAGAACAACTTTTAAAAAATAAGAAAAAAACAAATAAAAATAAAATAGCCAGAGCAGTGCTCCCATCCTCATTGGTCTGGCCGGACTTAGACAAATAAGCATTAACAAAAAAGCACATAAAAGAACAACAGCTATATTGCTCCAAAAAAATATCCCAGGCAACGCCGGGTAACCCAGCTTGTTATGTATACTGATGGACAAATACGAGTATATCAACTATTTTTCAACATAGTTGCCAAAGTTATTCAAGCACTTTTATTATTTTGTGAGCTCTGATGGTTTTGTGTAAAAATAATTTGGGAACCTTATTTTTTGATACCCCCTTGTATGATTTCTTCCAGGATATGAAATAAGTTCTGAAATTAGTTCAGCTAATCCTCAAATAAGAATCCTCAAATTTCACCTTTCATTGCACATCACATAGCTTTTGAGAGCAGTAAGTGAATGTGAGCTGAAAGGCATTGATATTTGTTGGCACTGAAACGATATTATCGCTTTGCAGGCATATTGGCTGGGAAGATGGGGGAACTAGGTTGCGACCTGGACAAAGTGTGCCTGCAAGTGGAAGCTAAGGAATTCACTGTTGAAGCATCTACACTTCAGAGTCTTCAGCAACTCATTCAGTGGGTTTCTGATCTGGCCCTGTTCCTCATTGCCACAGCGCCTACCATCCAGCAGACCCGGGGTCCCACCGTACGTCCAGTCTCGTCTGTATATCCTCACAACTGAATGTTTTCTTGTTGATTTTAACATGTGGAAAATCCAGAAAGGTAGCAGGATAAGGGGTGATTGCAAGATTTCAGGATTGATGTCATTTTTCACATGGTTGTGGGACTGGAGCTTTTAAAGCATCTCCTACAACATCACGTTTTTCAAGATTGATATATATTAGAACTACCATGTAAATCCAGAATATTTGGTTGTTTCTAAGGGACTGCTGATGCACATTCTACCATGTATTACAAAGAAGAGCATAGCGCCATATTAAGTTCCCTGTGAAACTGGGGAAATTTGCCAGCAAGACTTTTGCTCTTTCAAGTGAGGCTTCAGGACATGAAGCCACGTCTCATGGAATATTTTTTTGGTTGATGATAAGAGATATAAGGATACAGCAATCCCATCGTTTTCAATGTCATTTGAAAACGATGGGATTGCTGACCCTCAAGAGTTTGAAAGAATGACAGTATAACTATTGCTGAAAAACCGCTTGAGGATGACTGTTGAAATCTAGATAGAACATCAGTAGAAGAATTGGGAAGCCTTCCAGGAAGGATTTTCAAGTGATTGAAGGTTTTTAACACTGCTGATTTGGTTTGCACTGGTTTCTCAACTGCACTCAGAAGTGTGGTACAACAAGCTCAGTGAAGTTTTGTCACATTGATAGGAAAAATGATCAAAATCTGAGAGAGTAGTATGGGATATTGATCATTTTTCTATTATGTCATTTTTTATCCATTGTGAAAGGGAGATTTGAAGAGCTTGGGTAAAGAAAATGTCTTCCTTTCCTCAATGTCAAACAATTACTGGTGGCATCCGCTGCAGAGTCCAGAAAGGGACCTAAAAAGAAGACCAGACATAGCTGCTGACAGCTGGGTTCTTCATGTCTACACAACTTGTGCTTGTCAGTCAACAGTTAGAAGCCTGAAGTTGTAGTCATACTACACTGTGCCTTTGGCCCTAATGTTACTCCAGTTTTTTACGACTGGGTCATGAGAGATGTTTGGGGTCAGATAAGGACTACTATTTGATGAGCATATTGAAAAGAATCTCGAATGATGGCTTCCATCTTTTGTTTCAAGTGAAGTGAGAACAAGCTGATGCAATATTCAAGCCCATAAGGATTACTTTTTTTTTTTTAATCTATGGAGGAAACAACCTTCCCTCCTTGACTGGAACTTTTTTTTTTCATACATCCATGAATTTAAAGTTATTTTGTGTTGCAATTTATTGGCACACAAGTGCAAGACTCGAAGAACAGGATAAACATGGAGCTCCATATCATGCATAGGAGCTATCTAAAGCATATCAATCTTGTTTATTTATCTTTGTTGCAGTCCCTTTGGGAAAAGCAGTATCAAAAACAGCCTGTTGTGCATGCTGTTGGTCTCCTGGGTTTGGAAAACCTATATTGTGTATAATCTGGATGTCATAGTACATTAAAATGTCTGAATGGCCTCAGTGTTTAAATCAAGCTTTTTTATCCTGAATAAATCGTTACCATTTCATCTGTTTGAGTATTAGCATGAAACTCAATGCTATGTAAAAGTCCATCAGGAGGATAAGCTTCTCTGGAGATTCTCGATAGATTGCATGCTAAATTGGGCTAGTGGCCCGGAGCTTTCTATGGGTGACTAATTCTTTTCAGGCACGAAGATATTTCGAATTTAGGTTGAAGATTCTCTTTTGGGCTAAAATGTGAAACGATTTCGATATCGAGAAAGTTCAACTCGGAGGTAACACAGATTATTTCACTTTTTCCATCTAGTACGAGCTGCTGAGAGATGGAAATGCTCTGGGGACCCTGAGGGAGCTTTTGGTGATCATTCGTCTCTGGGGTCTCTTCTGGCAACACTGCATGCCCGTTTTCACCAAGGCGTTGGACAACCTCGATGCCATCTCCCTCGCCTACAAGCTCCTCACGAAGATCTCCCTGAATCCCGAGATGGATGTGTCTCTTTTGGGTATGTTTCATTCCCTTTGCGTGCATGCCGCGCGTCTAGGTGCAACCTGAAGTAACCCTCTTAACGTGTGTGCTAAAATAAGTTTAATCTTTTCTCGAATTAGTAAGCTTCTCTTGGGGAAAGTTTCTCTTATACAGTGGAACCTCGCTTAACGAGCATAATTTGTTCCCGAATCTTACTCGTAATGCGAAACACTCGTTAAGCGAATCACTCTGTTTGACTGTATATTCATATACAGTCAAACTTCGCTTAACGAGCACCTCCCATAACGAGTGATTCGCTTAACGAGTGTTTCGCATTACGAGTAAGATTCGGGAACAAATTATGCTCGTTAAGCGAGGTTCCACTGTACATTCACATTTTCAAGACAGGTATTGGATTTCTGTAAACACTTTTTTCTCAACTCTTTTAGCCGCTACGTTTTTTATGGGTACTACATACCCCTGTTCTGAGTTTTTTTTTTGGTGCCCCGGGGCCTGTGATACTTGATAAATATCAATAGATAAATTCCCTCACTTCCCTTGAGTGAAGGATGGGACTGATTCTTGGAGTGGTTCTTTCTGTACTGGGAAAATCTCCAGTATAACCGCCACAAGTAGAAAGTTCCATGATCGTTCGTCTAAGTTGAGGAGTGAATGGATTCTTGGAATTTCAGGCCCAGTCACAGGAAGAAATCAATATTACAAATTCATGTCAGTGCGAAGGCGCAGAGGGCGAAAAGACCTATCGCTTCTGAAGCGTAACTTCACAGCTTTTTCTGTCTCTCATTGTATGTAATGCTTTGAGCTTTTCAAAGTAAATTTATTCAAGCATTAGGTAAAGGAATAGCTTAAAATTAATATCTTTTGCTGGGTCCACTCCCCGGATCGCCTTTGGACTCCGGGAAGCGAAACGTTGAATCGGTTGGAGAGAATGGGGTCGTTATGTCGACCAGATGGAGATAGGACTCGAAGTTTTCTTCTTCCTTGTGCTCTGCCGGGAGGGGATCTTCCGCTTTCTCCTCCGTTTGCTCTGCGGGTTGGGCCGATGCGATCTCATCTCTCGTGTCGGTTCTCGAGAAGAGGCGAATGTGAGAGAGGACAGAGCGGTAGGTGACGTTCTCGGGTTCTTCCTCGTCTCCGCCCTCTCGAACGTGGCAGCCGGAGTCGGAGGGTTGTGACGTTTGCTTCTCGGATGATGAAACGAGTTTCCATTCCCCGTTCGAATCCTGCTTCTCCGATGAAGTCCCCTCGCTGGAATCCTCCCGAGCGTTCTCGTCGTCCTCGTCGTCCGTGGATACCTCGACGTCCCGTCCGCCCTCGTCGTCTATTGCCTCTTCGACGTCCCTTCCGTACTCGTCGTCCATGGCCTCTTGGAAAGCCTGTCCGTACTTGTCGTTCGTGGCTCCTTTGAATTTGCTTTGCCCTCCGTTCTCGTCCTCCATGGCCTCCTTGACGTCTGCGAAGACGTCTCCGAGGGGTGATGAGATGTGGAGGTCGTAGTCTTCCCAGGTGAAGTCGCTGCTGGACAAGACCGATTCGCTCTGAAGCACCCCCACTTCTGCGGTGGATGAAACTCTGGTCGACAGAGACAGGTTGGGGGTCGCTTTGTTCCTGAGGGACCTTTGCTCTTGTTCCATCATCATGGCCTGGGTCGGGTCGAACGGGTAATAGATCCATTCGTAGTCTCCACCGGCGTTTCCGTAGTCCTTGCCTTTCAAAGGCGGTGGTTGGACGGTATACGATCCGGTGAGATATTGTGGAGTCGAGTTCTTGAGGATGGGAGTTTTGGGGTCTTCGGGCTTGTAACTGGTGTTGTGGGACCGACAGACGAAGATGGCGATGCCGATGACGCACGCGACCCAGACGGCGACTGCTACGACCCAATAAATGATGTAGAGGCAGCCCCGTGGGCTGACGGTGAGGTGTAAGCATTGTTGCTGGGTGATCTCTTCCTCGGTGCTCATGGTCCGGGGAAGGATGATGAAGGCGTAGATGGGGAAGAAGAGCGCCGCGAGCATCGGCACGAGGAGGAACGCCAACGACACTTTGTGGTTTAGCAGGTAGTCCTTCGCCCCCATTTTCCTGCCGCTGTTGAAGGGATCGGGTCGGTCGCTTCCAAGTTCACTCAACGTTTTCGGTCATTTTGCACTAGTTCCACTCGTTCCTTCTAATTGGGGCAGAGGAGATTGGAACGTCTTGAAGGGCGTGGGGCATCTCAGACTGGCGTCACAGTGGCAGTTCAAGGGAAGCGGTCACTTATCACAGTGTGATTCCTGTTTTCGTATCGAGAGGGAGAGAGAGAAGGGTGAGGGGCTTTTCCTGCCTTATCGTTTTGGCCTCGCACTTGGCTTCCTGTGTGGGAAAGCCGTGAATCATTCCATCGGCCAGCCTTTTATTTTATTTACGTTCGCTGGCGGCAGTCGTAGTCCTTGTAACCAGGCCGCCTATATATTCCGGGATTGCTTGTGGTCATTGAATTGCGCATGGCACGTGCAACGCGTTGCTGGAAGTAATTTTTTTTTTCGGGATTCAAAGATGGCTTCGTCTTCCCTGAATGGCCGAGGTCCTGGCGAAGATAATTTCCCAACTCTTGTCAAAATGCGCTTCGTGACTTGAGTGTGTTCGCACAATATTTTTTTTTTTGGAGGTTGGTAACACTCTAAGATGGTCGGTCTTGATGTCCACTTTGAGATGTGCTCATACATGGCGTACCGTACCGTTTCACCAAATGTTTAGTAACTTTTTCATCTCTCTCGTCTTTTTTTTTTAAGTTGGTTTCTCTGCCCTGAACAAGCAATGTATAGTCAAATGGTATTCCTTTTTTATTGTGGAGAATTCAGTTCTTGTTCTCTTCGCCCATCCGAAGGTATGCCAAGGTAGTTGCCAGTATTGACATATTTTGGAAGTATAACTCTAATGTTGTCAAGTTATTGTGATTGAAAACTAATTAAAGGATAATCTCACGTAAGTCAGTTGTTTTTTGCACGGCTCACCCTTTTGCAATTTGTGTTTTTGATTTGGATTACTCACTGGAACAAACGCAACGCTTTCATAATGATTCGAAGATGCATCGTTTGGAGATGGAAAAGAAACCTTTCATGCCATTTCTGGTTAACCCTTTCATCCCCGAGTCGTGTTTCGGACACGGGTAAAACATTCTATTTCGTTCTGTGGATTATGCTGGGCCATATTATCCATATTATCATTGTGTATACATAATTTGAAATTATGTGATATAATATAGTTATATCACGTCTTCGTTAGTTCTACCAGCAGAACTGACTAAACTAACATTCCATTGAGTGCTTCACTGCCAATTTCCAGACGCTAACTGGCGAAAACCTTGAAAAACTAGCTGGGATTTGAATTTATGGAAAAGTTACTCACTCTTCATATTTCCAAATTCCTCACGATTCTCTTTCTATCTACTGCCTGCGGATAAGCAATTAACACACTATAAATAAGTAAGCTGGTAGGCTTTAATAATAATAACAGTTACGTAGCTGTTATTCGGAAAATAAATTCATAGGCGAGGTTGGAAATGTCTGTAAAGTTGATGACGCCCGATGGCGCCATTGGGCGTGAAATAGTTAATACTGAGCGGTTGCCGCTTTCCTGATCGGCCTCAGAGCGTGCATGGATTTCGATAGACGTAAATATAAAGGATTTTTGCATCGGACGTGATGAAGACAAGGATGAGGGAAAATTCCATGCCGTCCGGTTTCCTTTATCATCCGTACGGCACTCGGCGTGCGCAAAGGCATGAAAATGCAGTTTGGTGGGGGGGGGGGGCTCTATTTTTCCATAGGTCATTGGAGTTCAAGTTATCCAGGGTATGAGTATTCTTTTTTTCTCTCCAGCTTTTTTCTGTCGCGTTCGTGAGCAGGAACGCGAGATGGCTTAATGTGCCATTCATCGAAGACCTTTGATGACCCTGTAATCTTGCAACCATTCATGAAATCGCGCTCACGCAGGAGGTGGCGGGTCTCTCCCCTCCCCGCCCCTCCCCGCCCCCTCTCCTCCATCCGACCCGCTGGATAGGAACGTTTCAATTCCACGCGTAGTATACCCGCATGATGAAGCGGAGCGGATCTCTTCAGCGTGCTGTGCCGTCCTGGTCTTTCCTGCGCATTTCCTCAGAGGAAAGTCCATGAGGAAATGCCCTGAAAAATATGTTTCTGTCTGTTCCATTGAGGTATGCTTCCTTCCAGGTGGCACTATCGAATTCTTATTCCGTTGGAGAAGACGCTCCACTTCGATCCTCGTTGAGTTATGCCCGTAGCACACGGTTGCCTTTATGAACTGTTAGACGAGGGAAGTTTGAGGGAACTGTGGTCTCCCAACACGACAGGTTTGCCAAGTTTTGTATGCGGCGGGATCAAAAGACAGGGGATCGCGCTGCTGATGCAAAATGCAGCTGCAGGATCATGGCGAGTGTGCAGGGTGAGTTTATGTCGAGAGACGAAAGAAAAACGCGATAGACGATACGCGAAGGAAGCCCTCCCCTTCTCCCACGCGAAGACGAGTTGGTGTTTTATTAATTTCCTATTTCGCATGAAGGCAGACGGGACACCCAAGGAAAGCAGGCAGCAGGGATCATCCCCCCCCTACCCTGCTCTCCACCGCGTCGTGGAAGGCTTGGGCTGGGACGCCAACAGGCATGTCTGCCCGTGTCCGTATTCCGAGGAAGGGTCGAGTCGTTGCCTCATTCCCACCGTGTGTTCATTTCTGTGGAGGTTCGGCCGCAGCCGTTCCGTCGTTATGGTCTTCTGAAGTGACTGGACTGAACTGAATCTGAGATTTTCAGTGCTCGATTCCAGTGTTCGACATTTGGGCCTGCCACCAGGCGCGCGCAAATAAAGGCTTTCTCCAAAAAGGGATGGGACTAAGAGGGTAAAAATATGCCAATAAAAGTAGCACTGTTACTAGCAGACTCTGCACGGCATGACAGGTCTCAGGTGGCACCAGTAAATCCTGCCACACGTCGATCGCCCGTTACTGGTAAAATACCGCCGCATGTCTACAATTAAATCACTTCCAGGCGATATGCTTGATAGCTGTAGCTCACCCTGACGTATTTTCTTCTTTTTTTTTTCCAGAGGAATGCTGCCTCTTGCCAACCCAAGTGCTCGTTCCGAATCTTCAGTTGAGTTTTCCACCGCGAGGAGTCGCGGCTGCGCTGCCTCTTTTCCCCGACACACTTCCTCTGCAGGTGAGTTGTAGTGCTCCAAATGGTCCTTGGCCGTCTTCGCCAGACCGGCATGGATCTTACGTGATGTGCAAGCTTCTCTCCTTGGAGAAAATTGCGTTCGTGGCAATTTTCTTGGGGAATTAATATGTACTTGTAGTGCTCTTGTGTGGACTCAATTTCAGGCTGGATTGTGAACTCTTCCTTGATTTATTTTCAGAGATTTCCTCACTGGAAAATTGTCATTATTATGCATTACATTTTTGCAAGCGATGGGATATACTAAGTCATTTCTTTCAAGAATTCTTGAGAAATAGTCCGAGATTTCTGATTTCAGTATTTCAGTAGACGTGAGATTTCTGATTCCGCAAGTAAACGGTGTTTCGGTTGCAGTTTGAGTTCGGGTGCGAGCCGGATTCGCTGCCGGCGCGACAAGAGGCGCAGACGAGCATCGATGGAATCTCGGAGCTTCATCTCCGCAGGGATTGCGTCCATCACGTTTACCTTGGGTCCAAGCACAGCCTCACGAAACGCTGCACCAGGTCCGTTCTTTGAATGCTTTTTCCGTTCCTTGGCAAAGAGGGATTCCTTGAGGCCCAGTTGCTGCTTGTATTTCTGTTGAGAATACGAGATCCTCGTTATCAGTCTTTGTAGGGACAATTGCGAGTCTTCAAGCAATGCGCATTTTACCGATGTTGAGCCTATTTTCTGTGTGCGAGGAATGGAAGCTCGCTGTAATAAGCATTTCGCATTTTTCTCCGAAGTTCCACATAAAATGGGATTTAAAAAAATATATATCCGTAGGTGCACGGGAGAGAGTCTGTCTCGGATGTTCGCGCGGACGGCGGCGGCTCGCGCGTGGGACCAGCGCTGGATTCGCTCCTGCCCGTGCAGCGGACACTGGACCATCGCCTATCACCAGTTTCCCGCCAAGAACCAGTGATGAAACGAGCGCAGGTTGTCCCCGTGTATTTTATTTAATGGACTTTATCATCGGCTGAAGGAGCCTAGGTATTCGCTTGCCGGCCCAGGAAGATTCTCAGTGACTCTCGTCGATTCCGTTCTATGAAATGCTGCTCCAAAGTTATTTGATTGTTTTGCTTTTGTTAATAAAAGCGTGGCACAAGTTTTGGTCTGTGAACGATGCGATAGAAGACTTGTTTGATTCTCAGAGATGGAAGAGACAGTGGGAGAAATTGATGGATTGTCTAATGGCTGTCTTTTCAGAGCGTGAGAGTATGCACTCTTGCCCGAAGTACACGATTCACGCCTCAGCCCACTTTTTATTAGATTTTTTTTGGTGCCCAGGAGCGAGGGGGAAATGGTTTTTGATCGTTTTTGGACTATCACTGAACATACGCTGGAGTTATTTTTAGTGTGAGTAATTTCTGTCACGGTGTGAATGTTTTTCTGGAGGAGATTTCTGCAAAAGTTTTTTTCTTTTTTTCCTACAATACTGTATGATGAAATATTCTAGAAAAATGTAAACCTGGCTCGGGAGAGTGTGTAAGAGCAGCTTGTGCATTTATGTCATCCATATTGTTTCCAAGCTATTCCTTGTAAGGTAAAACCGTCAAAGTTCGGACACCACAAGTTAAATTTTTTGCAGAGCAAAGCATTTGCGTGGTCACATCAGGAAAAGCTCCTCCAAGCTGCAAAGTATTGTTTCAGAGGGAGAGTCCACCAATGCTCGGTTATGTAACCAGTGGTTTGCGCCAAGTTTCTCGCTTCCAAGACTACTGGACTAAACATCATACCGCTTGGTCATGTCAAGTCCTCAAATAAACACGGATTGCTGAACTTTCACTCTTGGGGAACCCTTCAAGATCCTTCTTGGATCTTGAAGGAAAAACTCGCACCAAAGCCTTAAAATAGGATAAGTCTTCGAATGTTAGGACAGACTGCTAAGTTTTAAATCCTTAGTTGTCGCTGAAAGTTGTTCTAGTTATTAGTGACGATGGAAACTGCCTGTCAGTGCGAATCCTTTTTTTTTCCTGCTTCATGTGTCACTAAAATTCGCATATGCCAATTTTTGGTACCTCGATAAGAATCGGCAAAACGGACCAGTTCCAATGCCCGCCCTCGTAATTCATTGCCATTTCAAATCCCTGAATGCAAATCCTGACCATGAGCGAAATGTACTTGCTTTCGGTGACCACCTTGAGACGGGCCACCGTTGTGTCTCATTTCATTTCATCATTTACTTAATTAAAAGTAACTTACTGCAGAAAGTTATGAAGTTGTTGGGAAGTCGCTTGAATTGAAAGCATTACATTTCTGTCGGGCCCTGAAACGAGAAGTAATTCTATTATGCCCTGAAACCGCGTTCCATCGTCATAATCTGAAATCCAAGTGCGTCAGCGTGTTCATTTTTGAGGTTTTGTGGTGACGTCATCGGTCACGTGCCACAAGGTCTCACTCAAGTGGATTCGAGGACGTGCAAATCGATTATCGCTTTCTCGTTTTGATGAAACGGGCTACTCACTTCCTGCGGCGACCCCGGTAGAGTATTTCGAACCGCAGAAATAGGAAATGTTGATACGACGTGTCATACTCGTATCATATGATACGAGTATGATACGATGCCGAACTGATACCCGAAGAAATTCGCTGGATTAGAATCCAGCGGCGTCGAATGAGATGCTGAACCAAGCCATAGGCGCAATTCCCTCTCTTTCCTGCAACGAGACGACAGCGAACACGAAATGGATTCGAATAAGAATAAGTATTCTTATTATTCTTATTCTCGTAGTTCTTTCCGTCCTACAAAGATGCGAATGTCGTTAAGATTGAAAAACGAGAGAATCTGTAAGTCCGTCATCGAGACCTTCATTACCGCTTCAAAACAAAGTCAGAAATAAACGTCGACGACTAGGTTCCTTCCTGGCCCAAGCCTACGAAAGGCCTTTCTTGCATGCGAAAGGAAAAGCGTGATTCGGGGGGAAATCGTCCCAGGCATTGAGGAAGACGTAGGCGCATCTCCCCAGATTCGCATCGGGAAAGCCAGGGAACCAAAATTCCTCGGCGGACGACGAACCGTCGATCCAGTTCCAGTCCGAGGAGACGTCTCTTTCGTAGCCGATCCAGAACTCCGTGCTTTCCTGTCTCTCCGGGCCGTTGAAGACAAACGCGACGACGTCGTTGTAATCCACGTCAGCCGGCAGCGTGAAAAGCGTCGACGGACGGATCGCATCTTGGCAAAATTGAACAGCGGCATCGAACGACATGGGCACGTCGACGACGAGGTAGCAATCGGGGCCTTCCTGAATCCACGAGGATGTCGGGCAGTCGGTGCTGCGAAGGCGGCAGACGAAGGCCTTCGCCTCCGTGCAGTCGTCGTTCCCCCACTGGTCCATCCACATGTAAGCGAATCCGTCTTGGGACAGGAAATTTGGGTTGAACTTTCCGTAGTCGAAGGGGCTGCCGTCCGTCCATTCCCAATCCGAGCCTTGTCTTTGAAGCCCGATCCACAGCGGCGACGATGGAGCGTGTACCCCTAAGTCCCAGAAAAGTAACAAGTATGAAAATGTGAAAATAGTGAAACTACGAAAAACACTAAACATGACGACGCGCTTCTGGGACGCAACAAGAAAATATACGAAAGGCCGGATCGTCATTAGCGCCATACGGAACGTCATAAAACGTCTTCGACCTGTCTCGATCTCGATCCATCGTAGAAATAACCAACAGGGATAATCTTGGTTCTCGTTTCTGAAATGACATTCCTGGGAAACCAAACGCGCAAAAGGCATTTCAAACGTACACCTCGCGATCATGCCCCTCGTTCCCCCCCTCCCACTTCAAATCACGATTCATCAGCGAATTTTCCAGTTCCAAGATGAAGAAGTCCGTGATGTCCCGGACCAATTTCAAAATACCGAACTCTACCGACACGGCTTGAAATGAGCTGAAACCTTCGTTTTGAAGCGTAAAGGACTGGAATTTTGCAAGCCAAGTCACCGGAGAATCGCCTTCGTAACGAGTTGCAGTCGGCAGGATCTTCCACGAGGAGGACGCCGGATATCGCCGGATATCGCCGGATATCGCCGGACATGTTTTGTTCCTTCCGGCGTCCTTTGTGGAAATTTTGCAGAAGAAACCTTGCAGAACGTATTTTTGCACATCGGGCAGCACTTGGATTCGCACGGGGTGTCTGCCTTCGACAGTGTGAAAATTCTGAGGGCGTTTCTTGCATATCTCCGTATTATTAGTATATATATAATAAATAATAAATAAAGCATAATAAAAGCACACAGTTTACCTTGGCATCTTTTTTCGGTCAACATCCTGTCAAATTCTCATCCTGCGAAATTCTCATTCTTCACCGCGCTCATTTCCTATGAGTAAGTAATTTTTCCGAAACACCTGAAAAAAAATTCCCCCTCTCGGAATTCCCCCTCTCGGAATTCCCCCTCTCGGAGGGCATCAGAATGAATAAGACTGGGCAAGTTTCGTACTATTCGAACTACTTCTTTGAATCACTCCAGAAAATTAGAAGCTCCGTCTCTCCCGGACGCAGAGAAAGCAGGATCTTCTTTCTAGATATGAAATTCATTTCTGGATTTTTTTTCATTCCAATTCCCCAATTATTTGAGGGAAGCATCAAACCCAAAGGATGAGGCTTATAGACCGTGGAATGCGCCCTTTCTTCGTGCTGTACCGTTTTGCGTGGGGAAACGACATCAGCTGTCCGTTTTTTGCGCTTGTTCGTGCGGGATCCAGTCCCTTCCGCCACGGTTGTCGGATGTTATGCTGAAGTTTTCATAGGTCGATGAATGCTTATAGTGTTTTCGTCGTTGACTGATGGGATGAGATGAGAGCGAGACAGTGGTCAGTGGCGGCCGATCGACGTGGCCAATGGGCCAATGGCCAATGGTTCTCACCGATCGGCCGCTGCTGACCGCGAACCTCCTCATGGCATTCAGCTGAATTTCGAAGGCAATCTGTCGTCGAGTTTGAGAAACTTGCAATAGCTTATCATAGGCCAAATTAACCAATTGGTCAATAGGTCAATTTGCCAATAGGTCAAATTAGCTAATTGGTCAATAGGCCAAATTACCCAATTAGTCAATAGGTCAATTTGCCTATAGGTCAAATTAGCTAATTGGTCAATAGGCCAAATGACCCAATTGGTCAATAGGTCAATTGGCCAATAGGCCAAGTGTGTCGTGGGTTGAAATTCTTTCTGGCGCTGAACGGTGGCATAGATCCAGTCTGAAGACGGTCTTTGGGCAATGCCTTGTCTCGTTTATCATTTCCTCTAAACAAATTTTTGCGGATCCGATGTAATTTCTGATTCGTAATTAAACATTGCCATTGTGATTTCGAGTCATCGAGATTTCAAGGATATGGAAACCGACTACGACGACGCCCAAAAAAAAAGGAGGGAGTGAAGGAAGAGGAGAACGCCCCCCCCCCCCGATCCGTCTAAACTAGACCCAATAAAAAGTTGCCAACGCACCGATGAAAAGGTTTTCGTCGTCTCCGTGAATGCTGGTGAGGTTCGCCCCAAGGCTCTCGCACTCCAACTGAGCCCCCAGCGCCGTCCTCGGCTCGTTTATGAATTTATAACACGCTCCGTTGAACTCCAGCCACGCTTCTCCGCATTCTTCGGGCAGAATGGGAAAGGACTCGTACTCGGCGAGGAATCCCCTGAGACCGGGAAAATCGTCACGAGGGTGAGTAGTGTTTTTTTTTTATTATTAATAATATTATATATTTTTATTATTAAGGTCTTCTATAGTTCTAACGGCATTTTAAAGATAATTTAATCCCATTTTATACCACATGGCTCCACATAAGCGCCAGAATTTTCCAGTTTTTCTTAAGCGCACAGTGACGTTATCCCCAGAGCATAAGAGAAAACTGTTGTGGAGCACTCTGTGTAACTTCCCTGATAAAATTCTTCAACTGGTCAAGATTTCTGACTTTCCTTTGGTAAACATTCTCCTTGACCCAACCCCCCCCCCCCCCCCAAAAGAATAACTCTAAGAAAAACTGTGGAAAATGCTGGTGCTTGTGTGGGGCTTTAATCCATGTGGTATAACATGGGATTAAATCATCTTTTAGGTACCGTTAGAACGATGCTTTTGTTATTCCTATCACATGAATTATGTCAGTTTAAAAGTAGGGAGTTACTTTTAGATCACCCTGTAAATGGCCCCGTTTGGTACTGATCTTTCTTGTTCGAAAAACGTCATCGCAGAATCGCATTGACCATATTCTTGTAAGCATACTACCAAAAACAAGAAAGAAAGAGCTAGCTCGTACTTCTTAGGTACTCTGGCGGAAAAATTCGGGGGGAAGTCACTCACGAGAGAAAAGGTTTCAAGAACAGAGAAGATTCAAGGAACCCGAACTCATCGAATGTCCCCTCGCATTTGGAAGCAGAAACTGACGCCATTTTTGAGACGCAAACTCGAGAAAAATCTATCATCCGAATCACCATCTGGCTGGATCGAACCTGAAGACGACGGAGTGATCAGTCCGGAATGTGACCAGGAGGGAAGGGGACTGCTCGAGTATCTCGAAGCTTTCCGCAGGTTCGCATAAGGTATCCGTCACCCCCGTGGAAGGATGATACACGGTGACCTTGTCGCAAGTGCAGCAGTTCTCAAGAACGAAATCGACCAGCAAGAGTCGAATCCCGTGCCCCGGTGCCACTTCGATGGTATACGAGCAGTTGACATTGTTGGTATAGTTACTGGGGTAATTGGGCGATGAGAAGATTCCCGTGGGCTCCGTGAAGTCTCCGCCGCACTGGCCATCCACCGACGACCACTGCAGCAAGACCAGTAGCAACAGGCTGGCGATGTGCGCTCGGGCTGCCATCCTCCTCTCTTCGACTTCTCCACGTGGCGCTCTTTATATCCTCGATGGAAGGAAAGGGAAAGCTGGCATCTGTTATTCAGTGAAAGAGATAAAATGAGGAAAAACTGTCAGATTTTCTGCTTTTGAAATTGCGTGTCTCCCAGACATGGGAAGACGACAAGCTGCAGCCTCAATCGTGATTTGCCAGTTTCTTTTCCTCGATGGGGCATCATTCTGTGCCAAGTTATTCCCTTTAAGGAGCGATTCACATTACTTTTTCAATTCGTACTTGCGTATTGACATGCAGACCCAGAGCTTTAATCAGGGGGGTCGGAAAGACCCCTGTTAGATCTGCGCAGAAACGCGATTTTGGGGGTGGAACGCCTCGAGCTATAGGGTATGCTGTGCAAGTAGACAGGGTAGCGAAGCGCGCCTGTGGCACGGGAACCCGTGCAAGAGCATGACATCGCGAATTCCGAAATTTGTGGAAATGCTCTATGCACTGAAAATCTCTTTATTTTTGGAATGGGTTTTGTGAATTCGATGTCCGGCCATCTCCCATTGGTTCATTGGTGTCATGGAAATTCCTTTTCGGGTCCACATCATTCTCAACTTTTTCGCTTTTCGTTCCTCACGATCCCGGCTCACCCTCGTTTACTTACCCTGTTCAGGTGTCTGAGTCTTGCGAAAGTTCTGGCATGCATGAAGGTCCTGCTAGCCAATAGATGGATCCGCGGGTATTTGTTCTGAAGAGATTCAGGCAGACCATTCATAACACTTTCTCTTCTATCGAGATCAGATTCTCCATGATATTTTGCAAACTCTTGTTCTAAAACGACAGCATCCCTCAACTCCGACTCCGCGGGCTTCAGCAAATCCCCTCGACTGATCTTCGAGATCCAAGAAGAGCTACCTGGATCGTTACCAACAGAAGTACCGCGATCCATCCCAAAGACGCTTGAAAGCCACAAAACCAGCTACATTAAGGAATCCTTCTCCAATGTTCACAGTGGCGACGACCTCGTCCGACATAGAAGTCCGCCGTCCTCTGCGAAATCATCATACATCTTTCTGAGGAATGGCCTGGGCGGACTGAAATGAAGATCGATTATTTGTCATCGCCGTCCTCTAAACCGTCTTCTGTTGCGATGATTTTCCGTCGTCGTTTTCATTCGCAGGAGGTGAGGAGACCTGCTGGTTCTCCGCGCGTTGAAATGGACCGACTAAGGTGAACACGGGGGGAGGCGTTGGTTCAAAGGCCACATTCTCTGTTGGAACAGCTTCTTTTTTCAAGGGCGTAATTGCATTTTCGTGATGCGAGCACACGAAAGCGCATCTCGCGATGGATTTTCTTCCCGACAATTGAAGCCATTCGTTTTTTTTGCCTGTACATTTTGAAAATGCACGGAAATAAATATTTCCTGCAAGTCGATTCCTATAAGTATTTTTCCAGGAGGCATGCAGACAGAATCTCGAATGGACGGAATCTCGGATTCCACATTCTCGACCGAATACAAGAAAAAACGCCCACAGGAAAAAACCCCCACATGCAAAGTTCGCGGAAATGCCCGCTTGCCCTTACGAAAATGTCTTATAGGAACCTAAAGGAATCCTATAGGAACCTATATGCCCCATAGAGTTCAGTTTGGGACCTATAGAGTTCCCTATAGAACCTAAGAAAGGCCACAAAACTGCCCTCCCCTTACCCAAGAATCATCTCTCACAAGAGAGTTTTGTACGTCCCCAAATGTCTCTCCTTGCCTCATTGTAGCAATCAATAAACTTCAACAGTTCCTTCTTTGTCATCCCCATCTTCCAGATATAAGCATTGAGTCCCGTGAAGAAATAAGCCCTTATTCCTTTTGAAAACCACGTACGATAGTGAGCAGACCTTATTCAAATGGAGTTTCAATAAAGAGACGTGTTCGCAGGTTCTGTCTTCTATTTCCTTAGGTTGAGAGAAGAGTACTACTTCTTTCTATCGAAGGAAGTAGACGTGCAATCCAGCGACATATGTGGGGCGGTGCCATAAATTATGCAGACCCCCGCAGTACTGGTATTAATAATGCACGTGTCCCTACCATGGAAAAAACCCCTCATCTGTATTTGATTTTTCTGTCGTAATGCCTGGGCTTCGAAACGCAAAATATCCTCCTCGAATCCTATAGGTCAGGAGACCTGTAAGACCCTATAGGGATCCTATAGGATTCTAAAGGATCCTATAGTTTTTTCGTGTTTCAAAAAACTATAGGAAAGTCTATAGGTTTCCTATAGGACATTTCCGTAAGGGTGAGTAAGATTTCCAAGTCTCTCTTACAGGTTCTTTTCTCATTTGAAATAAAAAATCCATGCTATTTTTTCAAAAGTAATATATAACCGTTCAATACATTGAATATATATATATATACTAGGGAGTTTACGCCTTCAGTCACATTAGATATAACTCTTACAGGATGCGACAATGCAAACCTTGCCACTGCCCTTCGTAATTGACAAATGCTACGAAGAGAATGAATGCAAGGAACCGAAGAGCATGAACGAAATCAACGAGCAGATGAACAATGTCCGCATAATGCTGCCAAGGGTGGCTCAGACAACCGCAAAGAGATGGAATTTAAGAGTGAGAGACGAGAGAAAGAGTGCGCACGACCTGTGTTGGCCTTAGCCGGGGAGGTAGTGAAACGGTCAGGCCAAAGCGCCCGCTTTTATAGCGGAACGTTCCGCTGACGTCATCACACGCGCAAGATTTTACCTCCCTTCCCCCCCCCCCCCCTTCTCCGATCCCCCTTGACACCCGCAAGATTTTCCCCCCCCCCCCCCCCCCCCCCCCTTCTCCGATCCCCCTTGGCTTTAATGCCAACAGACACGACCCCCATGCATGGAATGGATGGCGGGGTGAAACGGGTTTCGGCACGGCATTGCGAGGCGAGGCGAAGAGAGGGGAACCTCTCGCCTCCCTGGAAGATCACCAAATCGTATCATATCTCGTTGTTTCCGGCTTTTTCCGCAGCTTGCAATGCTGGAAGAACGAAACGCCGCTAAAATATCACAACCGAGATTTTGCGGAAGAGAGAACACAGGCAGACCTGAACACTCGTGCACGCTCTCAAGTCGAACTCTATAGAGTCTGCATAATGGCTACATAATGGCCTTTTGCAACGGTGCTTCTGGACCCTACATGTCTTCCAGCTCTTGTTGACTCGTAATAAAAGCGAGGAAACCTGAAAGAAAAACTCAAGTTCATTATTCTACGAATGATCAACGCCAAAAAGAAATTAATTTTCAGACCTGGGTGATACACATGATCCGTACTAACATTTTTTTTTTCGAATGGTTTCATTTTCTTGTGCATTCAAGCATATAAATCGAGGAGTATGTCCCTCGTACCTCAAATATGAACGTTTCTCAGGATTTTTTTTTCTTGGCGCTTGGCACTTTGTAATGCTTTTCCCAGAACTGGGGTTTTTCCCTGGACCTGATGCTTGTCACGTACGTTCCGCGCATGTCCGCCGGACGCACTTAAAAAAAAAGAAAAAAAAAACAGTTATTGATATTGAAGTTATTGGTCGGATGTCCACCGCAGCGGACTTACAAAATAAAGCACGACATGTTTGGAAAGGATCGACACGCAATTTTTCATATCCCTTGCTGGGAAAAAAGTCATCAGCCAACATGTTCCGAATATCGGCCGAGTCAAATTGGACCAGGAAAGGCTGTTCAAACCGGATTTCCCTTTTTAGGGCCACATTCCCCTAAATTCCCCTATTCGTCTCTGGCCCCGAATGCGACGCAAAGTCAAGAAATCACTTACTTAAACGACATGGCGACGAACAAAACAAAGTTTTTTTTTTGTCTTCGTTCTCTCCCCACAAAAAAATTCATCAAAGGACCCTTAAAAAAAAAAAACAAACAGAATTTTTGATGCGCGCTGAAATTTCTACCTTGAATGGTAAAGGACTGCATTTTCCTTGAAAAATAATTTCACTGTTAAATTTGTTGTAACAAAAAAAATTATTATTATTTTCCGCCGAAACCGCCAACAACTTCAGAGAGAAAACGATCTGCATGCTGTGCAATAAGTTGGCGGAAACGCGATCGGCGAAAAAATTGGAAGTCCAAGCTTTAAAAAATAATTTTTTTTTTTTTAACTACTGAAAAACAGGACTAATTTCGTCGATGAGTTTATAATTTCCGTCCACGATGACAAGGATGAGTGAAAATTTCCAGTTCATGACGAAATGACAAAAATAGCGGACGACCTTAATAGACCAGAGTAAAAAGAGAGCTGAAATTAGTTTTGGGATCAAGTCCAGTAGTTATGGAAATGAAGAAAAAAAAAAGTGAAAATATGGGTGATGAAATGGCCCAAATATTTGCCAAGGAATTTGCGAGCCGACAAAATGCCCTCGTGAATTATCCGCATTAGTGAAATATTTTCCTCGTAGTAGGATGGACGGCGGCTTGGGGTCAGAAATGCGTGAGGAAACACGGAATTCCTCATGAACTCCACATTGCCCGTGATTTGCTGGAAAAGGTGTTGCAAGGATTGCGTCCACAGGAGGCATTCCGGTCGTCCTTGAGTCTGAGTCCCTTTCGGTTTTTGAGGAAATCGACGAACGTGAGTTCGATGACGTTTCCTGGTTCCACATCGACGAAATAGTCGCATAAAATGTTGTTTGGGTATTCGTCAGGGTAATTGGGCGATGAGAAGTTTCCCTTGGGCTCCGTGAAGTTCCCGCCACACTGGCCATCCACCGATGACCACTGCAACAAGACCAGTAGCAACAGGCTGACAATGAACACTCGTGCTGCCATCCTCCTTTTCCTGGTCTTCCCTAAGCGATTCTGTCTGTGTGCTAGGAGGGTGCGATCGGAAATCTTCCATCTGCTATTCGGAGAGAAAATAAAAATCTTTCCATTTTTATTCTTTTTTTTATTATTCAAATGACGTGTTGGTGAACTCCCTTGGAAGAGGGACAAACCGCATTGAATTCTCGGAATCCCGATTTCCTTCCCTCCGTATTTTCTCGCCTGGA